CCTGTGCGTGTCCTCCCCTCTTCTTATCGGGACACCGGTCCTTGGACTTAGGGCCCACCCCGATTCAGTGCAACCCCATGTCAACTAACTGTTCTGCAAAGACGCTTCTTCCAAATGCAGTCCCATTCTGTGGGTCCGCCTTCCGCTCCTTTTGGGGTCTGGCTGTGTTCGGCTCGTCTACCACGTGCGTGCATGCACTTTCGCTGTACCTGGCGGGGGGAACAGGGCACAGTGCACCCATTCTGTCTTTCCGGAACCGGAAGTCTGTCTAAACGGCATGATTGTTAACAGCAACGCTGATCCGGAAGTTGGGAATTGGCCCTGTGTGTCGTTCAGGGAGGGGAAGAGAGACTGAACTGTGGTTAAAAATGTTAACAATGTTACCGTGTCAACAAAGAGTGATCGGGCGCCGTGATTGGAAGGGAATGCTTTTATTCCAACGAATGAGGGTCCTCAACAGCGTGTTTACATATTTGAAACCTCAGTGATAAACTTGGATAATGTTTATTCAAGGCTAGAAACACACTGACCAAACAGCGGATCTCTAACATTTGAATGTATATGGCTACTCCCTACCAGCGGAGAAGCATTGAACAGGGAGTGCACACCTACCCCTTCCCTCCCCTTTCTTCCCGAGAAAGGGCGCCCTGCCAGCTGCAGGGGCTGTGGCGGGGGGCTGCCGGGCTGCGGAGTCCCTCTGGGTGCCGAGGTCCGGTATGTCCGTGGAGAAGTCACCGGCTGCTGGCTGCGGTGGAACCCCTGCTGGCCCGCCTGGTGGGGGTGCTAGGAAACAGGTTGTGGAATCAATAAAGTAGCATCAAAGGAGGGGCACAGAGCCCCCCGATTCCCTTTCGGAAATGCACACGTGTGTGACCATGGCCCCAAGAGCCCAGTGCCTTAGAGGGCTGACAAGGCATGCGACATGGACAAATCCCTAAGCCGAGGGCGCGGGGCGCGGCACGTTCCAGAAGATGTGGAGGAAGAGACAGCAGCTAGCACGTGGCGGTGACCATGGGCAGCCTCTCTGGGTCCGGTTTTGCCTCCCAGCCTGTCGCAGGGAGCCAGTCTGGCTCGTGCATGAGGGAGGAGCTTCCCAGTTCTGCGCATAACCATGGCGAGCATTGATTGAGTGCCTACTGTGTGCCCCACACTGTGTGTGGAAGACGGCCTCCAGTTCAAGTTCTCAGGGTCCCTGTGCGGGGGAGAGCTGTCGGTTCCATCCCAGAGGTGGAAACTGGGGCCCAGAGAGGTGCCGTCACTGGCCCGCGATCACACAGTCAGGACACGGAAGAGCCTGTGTTCCCCGTCCAGTGACCGGCGCTGGGGGGCTGTGAGGCTCCCAGGCTGGGACCTAGCAGCCTTCCCGGGTGACATGTGGCCCCATGACACAGGCGGCGCGTGAGCTGAACTCGTGGCTGACCCTCACCGTCCTGCCAGTTGGCTGCAGAGTCGTGTTGGCTGGGACACGGCTAGACCCGTGAGGATGCTGTGCTGTCACTTGGTCGCTGACTGGGGCACACTTTCTGTTCCGAGGGCCGAGGCCCCAGACAGATGTCCTGCGTCCTCCTGGTGGTCATTTTCACCATCTTTCTTTGTAACCGCCCGTCGGGGGGCACACTCTGCGCCCTAGCTGGGATCTCCTGGCGCCCCGGAGCTGCACGCTGCAGGCTCAGGCCAGCGTCCGAAGGGGATGTGTTCCAGTGGGACAAAAAAATCATCTTTGTTTTGTCTTTGGTAGACCAGGGTCGTACTGCAAAAATGAAGACCTAGATAAAAATAACACAGTTTTTTATTACCACAGAGGACTCCCTGTGTGGGAACAACTCTTAATGCTGGGTATAAATGCTCCAGTGGGTATACTGCTTTTCTCCTGGAGTCAAGTAGCTTGAAGGGTGGCCAGATTATTTTTTCCAAGTTTACCACTTGTAAACTTGGCCTCCTTTGACCCCCTTTGTTCTTGCAAACCTGAAAGTCACTGATCCATCTAAAAGGAGCTCAGCTGCCCCTGGCAATGGGAGTCCAGAGCACTGCTGTCAGCTGTGCGGCTTCCGGGGTGGGGGTGGGGGTGGGGGTGGGGGCTGGGGAACGAGAGCGAGGTGGACTGCGCAGAAGGGTGGGGAAGGCGCGGGGGCGCTGGGAAGGACGTGACCGTCTGGGCCTTTTAGAATTTAACGTGGATGCGACCTGACCCTTGGAGCCCTGCGGCTCGCCTGGGCAGAGCGGAGAATGCCGATCCGCACCAGATCCTCCCTCTCCCAACGAGATGTTTTCTGTGCTAGACGAAATTAGATTTGAGAAAACATTGCTTTCCTCTCGTGCCCCTGAGCCGACCGTGAGCTGGCCGCTGGGTGCGCCTTCCCGGTCCGGACCAGTCCCCGGAGCAGATGTAACAGATTAGTCAGCGTTCCCATCTGCTAACCGTCGCTGCTGTCTCTGCACTTCCCGACCGTATCAGAGAAGACTGGATCTGCTCGGGGCAGGGTCTGGAGGCCACCGGAGGTCAGGCAGCCCGGGCAGCCCCTCCCTGGCTGAGCATGCTGAAACCATCCCCCCCCACCCCACGGCGGGGTTTTGACCCTTGTGACCTTAGCACTGGAAACAGACACTTCCATCCGATTTCACACTTCCACCTGGAAGGCGGAGAGGAAGGTAAAAAGGAAGTCCTCTGACCTTCCCAGGATGCCGTGCACATGCTTGGTTTTCTAAAAAACTATCTCTGCAACGGCCAAAGGGCTGCTAAATGGGTTTTGACATGTTTTTAAGATGGCCCCTTCTTTCGCCGGCCCTGTTCCTTCGGCAGCACTAACAAATACCGTTGCTTCCTCTCCTAGTTTAATGGGGCCAGGCCTGTGGCGCGTCTGCAGACAGAATAAATACAGGCCACAGTCTTGGCCTGGAGGAGTTTCAAGGCCGCAAAGCCCGTACACAGGAAACAGCAAATACCACGAGAGAGCCTGAAAGTAGGGTCGGATGTAAACTTCTCGATTAAACAAGCATTTGTGTCATTATTTGCTTCGTGGCTGCTTGTCTTCTAGGCCAAACGTCCCTTAAGGAGGGGAATGAATCTTTATCTTTTTCATTATCACGTTCCCAGCATCTGGGAGAGGTGCCTAACTCTTCTCGCTAACGGAATGGTTGTAACAAGGGTTTAATACAGGGTGTCCGGGGGCAAGGTCTCCTGCATAGATTGTTTTCCTGAAAAAAAATCAGTCACAAAGTTCTCAGCATCTGAGTCAACCCCTCCGAAGCCGGACGTAAAGTGAGTGCCTGTCTTGGAAGTTAAGTAGGGTTCTTGGTGTTGCTGCATTGAAGGGCCACCTGAGTGTGAGCAGATTAGGTAACTGTCTCAGTGGGATTGTTGTGTTTTTTTAAATTTTTTTAAAGGATATTTTTAAAAGATTTTATTTATTTATTTTTAGAGAGGGGAGGGAGGGAGAAAGAGAGAGAGAGAGAAACATCAATGTGTGGTTGCTGGGGGCCATGGCCTGCAACCCAGGCATGTGCCCTGACTCAGTGGGATTTTAAGAGATACAGGAAAACAGCTCTTTTTAAAAAAAATATCAAAAATTTTCCATTAGATATGAATGCATTTGAATAGTGAGGGTTTTGAAGTCTTCCAGTTTCTCCATTCACGTGCAGAAGTGACACCCTAAGCCCCGCTCTCCCAACATTCTTTTCAGGCTTGGCGGAAGCGGAGGCCCAGGGACAGCTGTGGGAATCAGGCAGTGTTGTGTCTGCAAATGGCTGGGCTGGGCTGGGTTCCGATGGAGGTGAGCTCAGGCGGCGATCAGAGATGCACTTCCCGGGTTCAGACTCGGAGAGGAGCACCCGTGGACCCCCTTCCAGGGAGCCCTAAGGAATTAGGAGTCGACACCGAAAAGCATTTAGAGTATCAGAGTCCCACGTGTCACACGATGAAGTTCCGCCCCGCCTGGGGAGCTCACTTCGGTTAAAGAGCGCCGTGCCCAATATGCCAGGGTTTTGGCAAGTTCCAAGTAGGCTGTCGTGTCTTCTCAGTAACCGCGGTGTTATCTCCAAGATAACCACGTTTATGGGAACCAGCTCAGGAAGCCACATCCCCCAGCCCCATCTCCTGATGCCCAGACCCGTTTTCAGTTGCAGACTCGTCGCACGAGCTGCCAGACGTTTTATCTGCAGACTCGTCACAGGAGCTGCCAAACGTTTTATCTGCGCCCAGAAGTGTGCCCCGTGACTCGAGAGGCCCCAGAATGTGGGGCGTTTCATTCTCAAGATTCTCAGGAGATTGAGTTCTCTGGACTCATACCACACAGCCTTGAACAAAAAGGTGGAAACTGTCCGCTTGGATGAATGACAGCAGAAGGAGCCTTCCATTCAACGGGCCATTTGTAAACATACAACAGTTGCTGGGAAATTATATTAGAGATAAATTATCTCCTCCCTTACAATGTTTCCTTTTCTTTAATGCAATTTAGTTCAAGCAAAAAGAACAGAGAGGCTGGGGTGGGGGCAGGGGGGCGGGGTGATATTCAATGCTTGGGAGGAGTTACTGGAAGCAGGCAGTGGAGTGAGAAAGGGGATTCACAGAAGACCTGGGGCACAGGGGCAGGCTGAGGCCTCCTGCCCAGGAGGCCTGCGCCAAGGACCCCGGCTGTGCCCACGGGAAATTGAATTCAGACCTCCTTCTGCATCATAAATCCAGGGCAGCTGGCAGCTCCCCAAGGGAGCCTGGATCGAAACCGCGAGGGCACCCGAGGCCGCGCTGGCCAAGGCCTTGCAGAGCCCGCAGAGGGTGGGCCCCAGGTGTGCCGGATTGGGACCTCGCGATGACGTTCGTCTCTGAGCCTTGCACTTTGCCAGTTTTAAAGTGCACGCCTCGCCAGGGAGGGAGCGCCTCCATTACGCATCAGGAAGCCGAAAGGCTGCAAGCACTCTGACATTTCTCGGAGCCGAACGGGAAGGCCTGAGTCTGCAAGACGCGCGTGTCTTGCTCTTTTCCCTGAGTGCACGTGCGGGGAGGAGCCCTCGCCGCCGGGCTGGGGGGAGTGGGCACCCCCGCGTGCCGACCCCTCGCTGTCGCCAGGCTGCTCCAAGCAGGCGCCCGGGCAGGCGTCCACGTGCGTTCTGCACTCGAGGGTCGCGTCTCAGCCCCGCAGGGTCCCGGCCGACCGCCGGGCCAGGGCGTGGCCGCGCGGCATCGAGCCCCGCCCACCGCGCCCCGGGGGCGGGGCCAGCGCGTCACGTGACGGCGGCGGAGAGCGCAAGCGCCCCGCCCGGCGGGAGGAGGCCCGGGCCGCGACCCGGCCCCGCGCGCGCTGCTGGAGCCGCCCGGCCGCCAGCGCTTCCTGCACCCGCAGCGCCCCTCGCCCGCGGCCCCTCGCCCGCCGGCCCCGGGCTCGCCGGCAGCGGGAGCGGCCTCAAGATGGACGAAGACGGCGGCGGCGAGGGCGGCGGCGGTGAGTGTCGGAGGTGTGGCTGGCCGGGCTGGCGGCCTGGGGCGGGGCGCGCGGGCGCGCGGGGCGGGAGCGAGGGTCGGGGGTCCCGGTGCGCCCGAGGAGCCGGGGTCCGGGCAGCTCCGGTGCCGGCTGGCGACCGCCGAGACCCGCGGGGCCCTGGGACCGAGGCCGGGGTCCGAGGGCCCGGGGGAGGGGCGGGCGGGGTTGTTGCCGAGCCGGCTGGGGCCACCCCGGGTCTCGGGCCGGGGTCGGGGGTCCCTCTCCTGGAGCGGGGCACCTCGGGGGCGACCGTCCCCGCCTCCAGTCCCCCAGCGCGTCCACGCCCTCCAGAGCCCAACCGCTGGAGCACCCTCGGCGCCTTTCTCGGGTGGTGGGACGTGGGGGAGCCCGCGGCGGATGGGAGGGGAAAGTTTTGGGTTGGGGATCCTCGGGGTCCAGCAGGGGCGGGTGCGGGGGGAGGGTTGGCAGTCGTGCGCGTCTCCTTGGCGCTGGGTCCGAAGTGGTCGGTGAGGTCTCTCCAGTGAGGAGGGCGCAGCTTGAGCGCACGCATTTTATGAAACAGAAAACGTGACCGATTTAGCGAAAAATAAGTCAAGAGCTGCCCGCCCGGAGCGGAGACCCCAGGACCGGCTGCCTGTCCGACGCCCAGCGCCCTGTCGCGGGCAGCGTCGCGTTTGTTGGCAGTTCTTCAGTGGAATGCCCACTTCTGCTGGGTTAGGCTGCGAGTTGCGCCTTTAAGCCGAAGAACGTGCCAGGGTACGGAGTGAGGTCGTGCGTTTGGGAAGCAGAAGGGTTACCCCCCACCCCCAATTTTACAGGCAGACCCGAAGTTCAAGATCCCTCTGCTTTGGCTAAAGACCTTTTTTGCTGACCGACCGAATCGTCAGAACGCTTTGGAACAAGGGAGCGTTTTGGGAAAAGTCTTTAATTACAGGCTGCGGGCGCACCCGTCCGCCTGTGCGTATCAGCAGCCTGGAAAGGCTTCCGGATGGAGTGGTTCCTCCGGGCGCCTTGGAGACCCGGAGCGCGGCGCAGGTGGGGCTGTGCGCGCCGGTCGGCGGCGGCCACGCGGCCCCGAGGCCGGGCGGTGGGCAGCAGCCGCGACGTTTGGCGAGGAGCTCGTTTGTGACAGTGAGAGCTGGCGCTCGCACGGCGGCACCGAGTGGGCGTGTTGTTTGTGCAAGAAAGTGCGGTGGCGAGGAGCCCAAGGTGGCGAACCCTCCCACGGCCGGGCGGCCTGTCCGCGGCCGTGGTGGGTTCCGTCACTGCCGGGCTCCCTGCCTCCCCGCGACCTGGGGCGCAGAGCAGACGGGGCCGAGCCCACGGTGATACAGGGCCCGGCAGAAGTAACGCCCGCGGGAGTGCGGTCGCTAGGGTCAGCATCCGGGTGTGATGATCTAGTTTTAATGTGAACATTCGACCTGAAATGCCATAGGGAGTGCTTGACTGTAATATTCTTATGTTACAGAGTCACATGCTTACGATTTTGTAATAAAAGATTTTGTAACAAACAAGGGGCGTTATTTGTGCTGGGCTCTGTATTTACGCGTTTTAGACCTTTGAGTCAAAGTAGCCAGCTGGCTTGCAATGTTATTTTTTTTTTGGCGGGGGGGATATGTTATGAATGACTTTTAGTTCCGTTTATGCCTTTTTTTCGGTGATGGCTGACAAACTATTTTTTTTATTTTTCAATAACAGTTGGCATTCAGCATTTTATTAGTTTCAGGTGCACGACATCGTGGTTAGGCAATTACATCATTTACAAAGGGATCCCCTGATAGTTGGGGCCCCCACCTGGCGCCATGCACGGTTCTTGCAATAATATAGACGCTCCACCAGCTGTTTTGTTTGGGGGGTGTTTCTGACCCCGAGTAAAGAAATGTAGAAGGCTGGAAGGTAAAAGTAGGCTTAAAGATTAAGGAAGCCGGTGTGGCCCAGCAGTTTATAGGTCTTGAATACTATAACAAAAGGTGGTATTAAGTATCCAAAGTCTTCAGGCTTTTTTTGGGCAGTTCATATCTCTTCTGGGAATACCGTCTTGAAATTTGAAAAGAGATTCCATGCGTGAAGCTGTGCATTACCCTATAATAGCAGAAAATTGGAAACAGCAGTGCCTGATGGGGGACCGGGGAGGTAAATCATGGGGAGGTTATTGGAATGCATTGTTTTCCAGACATTAAAAACGAGCTGTTTTATACATCATGGTCTAAACAGTGTCCAAACTGGTGACACTGTGTTTCATTTTCTTTGGTTTTGTGTGTTCCCTAAGTTTCTGGAGTGATGTGTGTTACTTTCAAATTTGAACAAGAACAACAAAAAAACCTCGTAAAACATTTACCCTGCAGTAGGAAAAAGGTACGGTTATTTTAATGTGTGATTTAATTCACCTCACTGGACAGTCAATAATGAACGGATTTATTGATTGCCTGCTAAGAAACCCGGCAGCAGGGTAGGTGCGGGAAAGCCATGTTTAACCTTTATTGACTGGGTTTATTAAGATCTTTCTTCCTTGCATTATGGAAGACACTTAAAAATATGTTCAGCAACCTTAGAATAAGAATATTCTTGAATAAGTAAAAATCTTAGGGTTTTGAAATGCCACCATGTAGTGATTATCATATAAGTTTGGTGTGCTTGTATTTCACTCGTAATTACTGGAGGTTTTGAAGTCTGCATACCTCTTTACGTTTCTTCAGTTATTGCTACCATTCGTATTTCAAAATAAACTGCTTTGCCTAAAAATTCATGTTTTTAAAAATAAAGTTCAGCCCTTGGAAACACAATGAAGTCATTGGCCAGCCGGTTGAGGGGTATGTTTCGGAGGGTGGCACCACACTCTCCTTGGGGAAGTCGGTTTCGGCTTGTTTACAAGATCGGAAAGACAGTCTACTCAAAGGGTCGGGGACAGGCGTCAGAGATCATTTAGAAGCTCTTTTTGCTAACGTGTCAGTTGCGGTTAAGAAGACTTAAAAACGATTTCTCCTTGCCGTTTTTTACAATTTAATATTCATCTAGGGTATTGTTATTCTTTCAATGCAAGATAAGGCAGGAGGGGAGGGCGTCGGGAATGGCTGGGAGGCGGTGCTGAGGAGGAAGTGGGGGGGGGATGAGATTACAAGAGCACATTGTTACTTACAATGTGTGCGCGGAGGCTCGCAGGCCGTTAAGGTATGGTTCATTCCTCCGGGGCTTTGTTGCCATTCGGTTTCTGTAAATCAGTCCTTGAGGTGTGTGTCTGCTTGGCAGGTGACTGGCCAGTTTGGCTCTCCGCCACCGTGTGAGGGCTGCGTGTGGGAATCTGCCTGGTCGATGTTCCTGGACCCATGGGCCGTCGGGGGCACGTGAAGGGAGTAACTTCGCTGGGTTTCCTCCCCTCGTGTCTCCCCGCCTCCCCGCTTCCCCGCCTCCCCAACCCAGGAGATGGAGACGAGGATTCAGTCTGTGTTTCCCGTGAAAGGATGCTCCGCCTCACTCCAGAAAATAAATACAAATTACTGCAAGGTGGGGATCCCGGGTTTCACCTGCCAGGCAGGTAATAACCCCCACGTTGGAAACCATCTGTTGGTGATGAGAGTGTAAATGAGTCACAACTCTTAAAGAGGCAGCGCCAGCTTGTGTCCTTGTTGGCTCAGATCCACGGCTTGCCCTTCCCCTTCCCCTGCGGAGGGACGCACCCAGCAGGCCCTCCGGTCCGCCGGCGTGGGGTGGATTTGGCCAGTGGGACCCTCCACGGGAGACTGGGTGGCAGGGGGAAGGGGAGGAGCCAGGGGCTCTGTCCTCTCGGTCTGCCTCAGTGGCGCCGCTGGCTCTTCTTTTGGCTCCAGCTGGCCTGTGCCTGTTGACCCGGCCCCCGAGCTTTGGAAATAGCAGCTCCTCCCTTTGACCCTCCAGCTCGGGGGTGGCACCACCCCAGCTTGCCATTGCGTGGGTTGTCTTTACCACTTCCTGTTGGACTTCTCAGCGTTTCCATCACGCATGCAGCCAAGTCCTCGCTTGGAATTCCCTCTGCTCCAGCTCCTGAGAGGAGCTCTGTTTCTCTGGGTGGATCCCACATAAATACAGGGGCGCTGGGCAGCAGCTTTTAAGAGTCACAAGCGTATAAATCCTTTGACCCAGCAGTACCAGTTCTAGGAATTTAACCCACGAGGATATCTGTGCATGTGTGAGGTGCCGTGGGCACGAGATGATTCAGTGCTTTGTCTGTCACAGTGAGAAATGGAAAATACCCCGAACGCCCCTCAGCTGGGGACCCGGCAGACCGCTCTCGTCCGCCCAGGTGGTGAGTTCAGCTGCGAGGGTGTAGGGAGGGACCAGGAGGCCCTGTGTGCGCTGGTGTGTTTGGAAAGCTCTCCAGAATGTTGACCGAGTTACAGAAGCGAAGTGCAGGAACATGTGCGCTGTGTACCGCCGCTCCTCTGTAAAGGAAGTGCGTGCTGGTGCCTGCAGGCTCTCGGGGAGGCTGAACGGGGAAGTGCGGACGAGGGCGACCGTTGGCAGGGAGGCGGGACCGACCGGGCAGGTGGGGAGTGTGGCGCAGAGGACACTTACTGCCGTACGCCTGTATGTGTCCGTGTTGTCCGAAATGAAAGCAAGTCGAAGTCGGGCTTCACTTTCTTTGGCTTTGCTTTTTCCAAAAGGGGCAAACAGTTTCACAGGACAGTAGTGTGCTGGTAAGAAAGCACCCCTTCTGAGAGAACCTTTATCTATTAAAAATAACACCGTTGATCTAAAATGCAGAAAGGTGTAAAACACATCGCCTGGGCATGGGGAATGAATAACCACTGTTCTTTTGAGCGTTTAACAGGTGGCCTGGTAGGTGCTCTTGGAGTGTGCTTAGAGTGCATTCTTTTTTTTTTTAAAGATTTTATTTATTTACTTTTAGGGAGGGAAGAGAGAGAGAGAGAGAGAGAGATACCAGTGTGCGGTTGCTGGGAGCCGTGGCCTGCAACCCAGGCATGTGCCCTGACTGGGAATCGAACCTGCGGTGCTTTGGTTTGCAG